CACCCCCACCCTCTTAGAAATCCTGCCTACAGAAAATGCTACAGTATACCCTGCCATTATAGGCGAGAAATAAAATTTGCCAACACTTATTGGCCAAAACTTGAAAAACTTGATTATAGATATACTATACATTTACAGTACCCGTAGCATACAACTGTGCAATACATTGACCCTATTAACATTGCAATATAATGGATTCTCTAAAATATATACAGTATCCATATTCTATAGCTGAATCTAGGCATGAATATAATGTCAATCATACTTATACAGGGCATTATGGCAAGGCATTCACTCAACAACAAACCATTCACCAGTGCTTGTTCGCAACATGCTCATCACAGATTGAATGTAGGTAGCACATGCCTGTGTCGAAGTCAAGAGATTTTCTGCTGTAAATTCCCACTATCCCGAGCCAGAATCCATAGGGAATTAATAGCCCTCAAGCTGAAATCCATTGGAGAATGTGGGAAGCTGAATTCACAAGGGTCTTTTTAACCTTTTGGATTTTGGTACAGAGGGGGATAAATTTGTACACACGAGGGCCAAATTCATAGGAGAGGGTGAAAACCTGTGACACTCAGCACTGTGGTGCATGTATGTAGAAATCTGGCAAGCAGTTTTAGTGCATAAGAACACTCACTGGCAGTGGCCACTTTAAATGGCTTGCCCTTTCACTTTCTACCTTCCTCAAACTGTAAAACAATTTCCTGTAATTGTTAAACTTTCCACAATAAAATTATTCTGAGTATATTTTACAAGGTTGTCATGGCCTGACCCCCTTGCTGTGTTTGTCATAAAGCATACGTTGAGTAGTGCCCAGTTTTTGTCTGTCCAGCTTTGTAGGAGAAAGTAGAACAAATGAAGATGGTCACGCATCCTGCTATTGTGATGAAGTACGCCCACTCAAGTTGACATGTTCCTGCAACCAAAACAAACCATCACAGTTACCATAGTAATCAACAATAATAATAATAATAATAATAATAATAATAATCAAATCAAAATCTATATAGAACAGAAGTAATAGTAAAAGGTGCTATGCACAGGCCTACTGTATAAATTATTTATGTGCGCATTTATACACATGCCAATTGTGATTGCCACCCCGACCAGCTGAGCATTAGCGCAACACTTGCAAGGACTGAGCTGAGGACACAGGCCTACAGACAGTTTTCGTGCCTGTAGCGCCAGGATATATCTGGGACTGACTTGGAGGATGTATCAGACTGGAAAGAGCTGGGAATTTTAAATGTCAGAGTAGCCAGGGTTTAGGGTATTTGTACTACGAAATTGCAGAAAAATTAGCAGGGGAAGTAAAAGTACAGTAGGAGGTAGGGTTAAAATAAATCCCTAACATTTTCGAATGTTACATTTCCCAGCTAAGTCCCCACCAGCCAGGTATAAAATTAGAATGATGAGAATATTCCTATCCATCTTTTAATTTTTGATGATCACTCAATATTATAATATAATAATATAATAATAATAATAACAATAATAATAATAATAATAATAATATAATAAATAATTAATTAATAAATTAAGCATTTAGAAAAAAAAAATCATTTTTTTAACACCTTCTTGATGCTATTGGTTCAATTAATCTTGAAAATAAATATAAAAAACCACTAAATCTAAATATATTGTTACTGTACTAATAATGAATTGTAAAATATATTTAATATACTGTATAACACGTTAATGGGTCACTGGGTCACAATTCATGTCTGAATTTCCCATGAATGTCAAAAATGCAATACAGCATTATACAAATAAATTGAAATTTTATTGAGTACCGGTACGTACATTTACCTGTACAATCATAAACCTTGAATGAAAATGAATGTTAAACATTTAGAGAATGTGAATAATGAAAGCTCAATGAATCACAATATGTGTTAATAAATGCAATTTTACGAACCTTGAGTACAAATTGATGTTAAGGAGTTCGTACCTTAAACTATGTGTAATAATGCGATCATAAACATTGTGGAAAATTAATGTTAAGGAGTTCGTACCTTATGTAATCAGACACTAATGATAATAAATGCAATCGACACAACCTTGAGTTAAAAGGAATTTTAAGGAGTTTGTACCTACATGTAATGTAAATGTAAATCAATACCCTTTCAAAATGAAAATAAATTTACAACAAAAGAGCAGTGTGGTATAATGATGTATAATTATAGCAATATACGGTAATCACGAACCTTAAAGTAAAAATGATGATAAATAATTAATGAGCATGTATAGTACTAATAATTGAAAATTAAAAACCTTGAATAAAAATATTTAGATTGATGTGTATGATGTTCATGTAAAGCAACCTTACCATGAACCTTCAGTAAAAATAAATGATGCCATAAATACAATCACGAAACGTGATTAATAATAAATAAAACATGCAATGAATATGATGCAAAATGATTTAATGATAAACCTTCAGTAAAAATGGATGATGTAACAAATGGAATCATGAAATGTGGGTGAAAATGAATAAAAACATGATGAATATGATGCACATGCAATAAATATGAACCTTAAGTGTGGAATATATGGAATCATAAAATGTGAGTGAAAATACAGGGTAAGTGATTTAAATGTGATTACTGTAATGCAGTATTAAATATTAATTGTAAACGGTTAAAATTCAACATAATTTTAATTTAATAAATGCATTGATTTTCTATCTTGAATGAAAGCGGATGACCTTTAATAAATAATAATCTAATAATGAATCTTGAGTGTACTGTAGGTACTAAATCAAATGACTACATGCAAATATGGGTTTCTGTTGATATAAATGTTGATGGAAAATAAAAGGTTATCTGGAACCACATGAAATTACATGAAATTTAGGAAAAAAATAAAATAAAATAATCGGGATCCCAATTCTCCCACAACTCGTGGGATTCTCCCAAAGATCAAGGTCTCACACACTCTGCGAGCAAGACAGAAAGAATCACCAGCAAAATAAGCCATTCTTCCACAAATTTACTACTGTATATTTGCATGTTTTTTCCAGTATTTAATACACTGTATTATCAATTTCTCAGCAAAACATATAATCAGATGTGTTTATGAAAGCTCAAAACAGATCTCCTAGATGTGGATTCTTTAAAGTTGGGACCTCAGCATAATATTTACGCTCTAGGGTGAATCTTCTAGGTTGGCTGATATTCAGAACTTGCGATGGAATGTGATGCTTTATTCACAAAATGTTCATTTCGAGGCTTACACTAGGAAGGGAACATGTTGATTACAGAAAAAAATTTCAAGGCTTTCATAGGATTCGAACCCAAGCCTCTGGGATTGAAAGGCAAGCAATCACAGGTATTCAATCATAAACGTAAACACAACCAACCTATGAGTACTCAGCTGATGTGAATCAGTCAAGTTTTATTTGACATTTTAGCATTCATATTTTAAGTCATATCGTAGGTAATAATTTAATAGTAACAAGTAGTTACACATGTATATTATAACTAAGAACAACTAGAATATAATAATATAATAGAATAAAAACAATAAAATTCAAATAAATAATAATACAGTAACAATATTAACAATTATATTTAAAATAATAATAATAATAACAATAATAATAATAATATGCGCTAAGTCGTTTTGTTATTTTCCCCTTAACATCGTTTTATTTTAGTTGTTCTCTAATTTCTCCATTATCTAGGTTCACATTAAGGTAGGTTTTGTAACATAATAATAATAATAATAATAATAATAATAATAATAATAATAATAATAGTAATAATAATAATAACAATAACAATAATAATAATAATAATAATAATAATAATAATAATACTTTTAGAATAATATGAATAATAGTAAAAATAAAAATTTAACGTTTATTTCAGAAAATCATAATGGAAGACCCATCATCAAAACCCAATTTAATTATCAAGCTCCAGGCTACAGTTCAATCAGGAACATTGAAAGGAACCTACCTAATGAGTACTCAGCTGATGTGAATCCGCATGCTGCCTTAACTTCCGAATGATTCCAACCATTTGGATAAATTCCACATCCAGCAGCAATAAATAAAGCTTCAATAAAAAATAACAAGTTTAATTCTTGATGTCCAATTCAGGGTCTACTATATATATTTCCATATTTGCCTAATTTGCAGCAAATTATTAATTTTAAATTAATATATTAATGAGAAGAAAAAATGGCCATCAAGTTACGGACAGTTTAATAATAACTTTCCTTTATTCTTTTGCATCAGTAATAGGCCCTGGCTGGTAATCCAATTAAAGGAATTTTTAAGTATAAAAAATGTCTGCAAATCAACAAAATTTTTTTTTGTTTTTTTGTTCTATATCTGGTTGAAAGTTCTATTTGATATTAGTTTAGCTCTTCAAAACATGCAATAGAATTCTTTAGATTTTTTCTTATTTTTGTGCCGAAGAGTACATCTATTTATACAGTAATGTATACAGTAGTTCGTTTTTCTATTCATGTTACACAAAGCACTTTTCTCCATGGTCATCTTATGCATACAGTAGTACAGAATCAATCACGCAAAATGCAACCTTCTCCACTTCCTGGGGAGCATTTGAGTCACGACTAATGTCATCCAAACAAAATTAATTACCTAATTAATTATTATATAATTTTTGTTATTATCACATCATGATGAATATTTTAATAAAGGATTTTTATCATAATCATTGTAAAATTATAACTCTTATCTTCAATGTAATTGCAAATGGTAGGCAAATCCTTTTTTTATATTACTTAGTGTACCATTTGAATTTTTTTTTAATTAAATGTTGCCAATGAACAAGTTCCAAAAAAGAAAAATTATTTAGTGTAATAAATTACTACCTCATTATCTATATCAAGTTTTTGTTTTCTCCAAATCTTGCTTATTATTATCAGTAGGGTTTTGACATTTCTAAGGCATTCATGTACATCAAACAGTAGGTAAAAATTAATGTCTAACATGTAATAATGTAACTACAACTGCAATTTATAGAATACAAACAATAAAATTCCATAAATACAATAACAATATTAATAATTATATTATTAATAATAGAGTTACTATTAACACCAACAATAGTAACAATACAAATTTAATGTGGTTTTAACTCAATTTTGCTGTTTGTATTATACTATTTTCCTTCTCAATTTTTTGAAGTTTTTGTGAAAATTGAAATTGAAATTAATGTTTATTTCAGAAAATCATAATAGTAGACTCATCATCAAAACCGAATAATTAATTCTCTCTATAATAATTCAATTAGATAAATTTAATAACAATAAATATATTAACATTACAACAATATTGACATACTTTATTTATCAGAATATACACTAAGAATTTATTGGTTTTTAAATGTTGTTTTAAAATACTTTAATGTTTGTTACCTGCAATGAACTGAATCAGACCCGTCAGACGGCCGATTTTCTTTGAGACAATGTCTTTAATACAACAAGCAAAGAGAGCAATGAACGACACCAACATTGCCAATCCGCATCCTACTCCGACCGTAATGGTACAGACACGCCAAGAATTGCTAGGAATGTCGTAAAATGTCAAATATCTTCCACATTGCTCAATAAACTCGTCATTTGATGGATAGTTGCAACGTCGAAAAATACCAAATGTAACGGTATAGTTCTGTTGGTGAAATACCATCTGTCCTCTTATCCAATATGGCATGTAGAAGCCAACACACACAAGACACATTCCAAAAAATGACAATATTGACCAGATCACACCACAGGGTGTCAGACTTCCAGTACTCATGTTGTCTTTGTCTTGATAGTCTCTCATTAGTGAAGGTTTTTAACGCAATTAAGACTCTTAAACATCAATCACCGGTAGTAGCCAAACACTTTTTTCATGCCTTAGAGTAATCTGTGAAAAATAGAATACAGTATTAATTTAATTGTAAAATTAATATAACTTGCAGATTGTAAATAGAAAGAACTATCAAAACTCTTAATACCGTATGTTATAAATAAAAATAAATAATATAAATATACAGATTCAATGGTATGGGGAGGCCCAGCCATCCCCTGCTCCCAACTACCTTCTAAATTTTTGAAAAATAAAAAATGGGGGGTAAAAAAAATTGCATTCAAATTTTAAGTCTCAGAGAGCTATTTTCAGCCATCTAGAAGTGCCATACACATAAAATTGTGTAGAGTGGGGCTAAGATATAAATGCACCCCATCCCCGCCCCCACCCTCCTGAAAAGACTGTAAACAAAACTAATGGAAGCAACGTCATTCTTAAAACATTCTATTTAATGTTCTACTCCAGCAGAATTATTTTTTTTCTAATCTGATGGGAACAGTAAGTCTTTATTATCATGCAATAACACATTTTGACGGTAGTACAGTATGCATTTACAATAAAATCAAGGGGCATTTATTTGAGTACTGTATATACTGTACATTTACACCAAAAAAAATAAAACCCTCCCTCGAATAAATCCTCCCTCAAAAACCTTTCTCAACAATAAAAGCCCAGAGGCATTTATTCAAATAATTTAGTACTTTAATGTTAAGAGAGATTCATTACTGTTTATACTGTATAGTATCTTTTGTTTTTTTTTATCAAAGTATGATTCAATCAGGACATACTATTTTCAATATTGTCTAGATGACTGGGATGACTAAGAAAACTTGGTTATACTCGCTATAGGATTACCAGTCTTAAAGACAATATGTATTGATGTCAAGGATACTTAACAAAACCTTATGTAAGGCTGCCATAACTGCACAATATTAAATAATATATCAAATCCTCTTAATACAGTGCTCAGTTAAAAAACCCAGAGTATATCAAGGCAGAAATATTCATGGGCTAAACAGGCACGGAAATTCATTTTTGCAAATGCACGATTATATAATCAGGACTGGTTTATTTGAACTGATGTCTTGTTGCATAAATTGTATCTTTGAATATTGTTGCATGTGAACATTATCCAGGAAATAAATTTTATGTGCATACATGATATGTGATGAATAAAGGTGAATCTGACAATAAGAATACAAATTTAAAAAACATGAAAATAATCAGTGTAATATTATTTTATAGAAATAATCACATCCTGTTAAATCACATCCAATAAGTTGCAAATACTGCAATGAACACTAAATTAATATCAGAATATTATAGGCCTTCCAGTGGTGCCAGGATTCGCCCAACATGTGATCTGATGCCTTGACGGAGGCCTAATATCTCCAACCAGAGCGTTAAGGGGCGTAGTCGGGTGTTCCTCAGATTCTTTTGGAAGGGGTCAGGGGAGAAGGAAGTCCTGACAAACTATGAGATTTGAAATGCTGTTGTGTTTGATGGATTATAAAATCTAACAAATGTTAAATAAATGTAATTGTGTTTTTTTCTCCAAATTGTGTTTTTCCCCCAACGAGAGCAAGTTCTCCCAGACGTGCAAGACCTGGCTCTTCACTGCCTGACACCACCCCTGGGCTTACCCCCGTACACTATTAGAGTTCTATAATTGTTTTTCTTCCCACAAACAATTAGGTCTACACAGTATTTGACACATGTTTTTATACATTAATTTAGCTACCCTTTAAACTAATTTCAATGCATATTTAGCCAGGCATTTTACTATTTTGCTTGATTTATTCAATACCTAAAACCTCTTTGATCATGGACCATTGAATTCAGAATTGAAAAACACAAAAATTTGTCAATTTTGACATTGAATCACTAAAGCTATAAGTATACTGTAGTAGAGGTAGCACAGCGTTTACACCATTGACAATGGAAAGAGTTTACACTACAAACAATGAATGAGTTTACACAACAAACAATGAGTTTACACCACAATGAGTAAAACCCACAAAGAATGGGTTACCCTAACAAACATGCAAAATTGACACCACAGAAGTGTTTAACATCACATACAAGGAAAACAAACTCTCCTGGCTTCTCTCTTTAGGGAACGCCAATGTTTGCCTATAAATAAAATAGAATGATAATAATAAAATGCTTGTGGTACATGTACACCATGTACAGTAGATAGTTCTAATAATTAATATGATCCGTGGTGTACCGAAAGAATTTATTATTATTGTTCCTTCACCAGGCCAACAAAAATAGAATTGTTTACAAAGAGATTCTATTCCAATGTAGATTGTTTTTCTTGTGTTTGTGTCTCGGGGCAAAGACACTATGTTGTCGTCTCGCATTTAAAGATGGCTGAAAAGGTAAATCCAGTGCAAGTGCATGATGTGTCATCTTGGGTAAATCCTATGGAAGTGCATGATGGGTAATGTGTCATCTTAAGTACCTTATTACTGTACAAAAAAATGCACCACACATTTCCTAGTAACCAAATTCCATGTCTAAGATACATGATTAGTAAACAAAGGCAGTATAGGGCATGGCACAAGCTCCCGCTGAAGCCTATTTCTCCTTCTTTTTATCCTGCAGAAGTACAGTACTAAGCCTATTTTCCTTCTTTTTATCCTGCAGAAGTACTGTATCTTTAACATTTACTGTAACTTTAACATTTTCAATCCCATAATACTATACAATAATCACCTAAAATTTCACATAACAGAACTTAATATTCCATTCATCTACAATTTTCAAACAAGACTTTTAAATGATCTCCAAAATGAATATATTGAAGGCACTTCAGATTTAATTATTTTCAAAAGATCACTAAAGATTCACTTGTTGTTTTTACTAAATGGTTGTAATTTCACAAGTCCTTACAGTAGCATGTTCTGTGTTTCTTGTAATTTGTCTTTGTTATTGTTTGGTTAGACAAAGTGTCATTTTAATTTCATTTCAATTCTCTCTTTAATTTGGAATTCATATCCCCAGAAATATACATCACTACATGGTATTGAGAGAAAAAAAAAACAATAACAAATTTGATCAGTTTTACTGAGCAGTACAAAATATTTCTTCACTTTCTGGAATTTTCCATATATTGTTCTGTGAGGTTATCCCAGAGCGTTCTGATATCCAGCAAAGTTCTTTTGAAAATTATGATGTATGGCATCCCAATACCAGCATCAACAACAAGCAAAAAAACAAAAAAATACCTGTTTACATTTTCCACACTATTTTTAAGCTTTCAAATGACCGATAATTAATTTTTTTATTCTAAACAGTGGTTTTGCCAAAAGCATCGGAGGAGAAAATAAAATTAAAATTTTGCTGAATGTAAACAATGTACAGTATGGGATTATAAATGCTTTTAATTTATTGAAGGAAGAAATGGGTATATCATTATTATTGTTGGAGAAGGTTCAGCTAAACAAGATATAAAAAAAGTCCAACTTACTAAAAAAAACTCCACAAGGAAATTAAGTTCATAACTTATTGGTATAATATTTAACCATTGAAGTATAAATAACAATGGTCCAATTCTCTTTTTACCAGTCTGACATTTATAAAGCATTTTCACTTGTATTTAAAGCAGAAACTTTTGGCCCTCTTTCCAGTAACTGTGGCTAATAGGTTTAGATATTTTACTTTCTTAAAATGTCAATTTTTCAATAAAATCCATTAGGATTATGTTCTGATCAGCTCCAGTGCAACTGCCAAGTTAAATAATCCATCTAAAAGGAATCTTCCTTTAAAAGGTTAATATTTTTATAGTTATTCTGATATACTTTACATTAAAGCCTTACAGTTTACCTAAGTGTCTTGTAAATTGTAGAAGTACTGTGTATTTTATGGCATACAAGAATTTTCACGCAAACCCATGATTGGGTGATAGAATACATATGACCACTGCTTTATAAGTGTCTGCCAGTGAGATAGATGAAACATCAGCAGCTGGTCCTAACAATAACAAGCCCACTGCAGGAATCTCTACAGGTATCTTCAATCAAATATGTACCAATTTCAACTATGACCTTAAGATCTACCAATCCATACTGACGAGATGTGTGCAATTTCAATCGCACATAGTACTTGATATATTATTCCACATTTTGCACGACTTTGAATTATAATTGTCATTTTGTATCAAAAAGAATGCAAATAATTTTTGATGCAAGAAGTGTTCCAACTTTAATTTTAAAACTGACTATACATAATGTTTACATAATATCCAATATCTGAAATTACAAATCTTGAGCGCACTTGTGAACCATTCAATAAAATAATTTTACAGTAGGAATACAAGGATAGGAATACAATAAACTATTGAACAATACACTTGCAACCACACTAAAATATATTGAGAAAGTTAAGTCACAAGAGCAGAAAAATCACATAAAAAACATTCCATGGCATCTGAAGCTGAATTGCAGATAAATTTAAGAAGCTCACATCACAAAATAATGGAATATTACTTTATCTAACTGGGTATACTATTGGAAATATTATCAATTTTGAAAAATAATGCAAACAATTGGTTCTCCTCTCCTTTTGACACCTCACTTTAAAAAGCTTGATTTTGTAGCTACTATCAGTGGTGTAACCAGGGGTGTCTGAGAACCAGTGACACCCCCACCGCCCCCTGCCCCCATTTTTGTTGAAACATAAAAAAACTAATTGCAAATGAATGGAAATAAATAGCAAAGGAAATTACTTCAGACGTTAAAACCCATCCGGTGCTGACTAAGGTGATTGTTAGTTAATTTAGGACAGTACACATTCAGCTTAAATACCGTCACCAAGTCATTTTTTTGCAATTTCTGAATGAAACATATTTAAACTATTAATACAAACTTTATTTGCTGAATTGTAGAATAAGATGTTTCTTTTGACTACGATGGCCAATTAGTCAGCGGTACGAGGCTATGCTCACTGTGTACAACTTTCTATCTGTTTCTTTCACTTAATTTCATATCTAACGGGTCAAAATTACCATTAAGTTTTTTTAGCAACATTTACCAAAGCTTTTCAATGTTAATTTACGTTAAAACAGGGGTTTGCCAGAAAAACGAAATAGGCCATCCAAAATGGAAGCCAGTGGGCATGGCACTCACTTGATGGGCGGGCCACGCCCACTTGGGGCCACGCCCCTTTCCAAACATAAGGGAAAAAAATAGAAAATTATGATCTTTAGAGGGCATTTAAAGGTGCTATGTTAGAATTTTGTCTTCAAAGGAATAGTGTTGAATGTCACAAAGATTTCAGTTATAGACATAGATTGCGCACAGCTACGGTTACTCACATAATGTTCCTAGGCTTTTTTTAACACGATGCGTGTTGTATGTGAACATTTCACCGGGTAGGCAATGGTTAATCCTTAAATTTTTGGGAATCCCCAACGACTATTGGTACGAAAACAACATACATTCAATCAATAAGGGTTGTTTTTATCAAACGTACAGTAAATATGATTTAGCTTTAGTTTAATGTACTGTAACATTCGATAGATTTGAAGAATATAAGAAATTGCTAAAGGTAGACCAGGCACAATAAGGCTAGGCCGAGCTGATTAGGCAAAACCGTCCAAGTTGTCGCGGTAAAAGTGGCCGTCCTAAACAATTGTAGGCCGTCTTTCGGACGTCCTACAATTGTTTAGGACAGCTCGCTGGCTAAGCCTATGCGTTAAAATGTATAAATAAACAAGTTTGAGGAGCTTAAAAACAGTCAAAATAATCATTCGAGGTAAGGCTTTAAATTATTGTGTGAAACAGACTGCCACCTAGCAGTTTGTTTTGATGTTATACCAACTAGATAATACTGTACTACTGTAGTTTTGGTGACTGAATTTGGTCAAATTAGTTTCACATTGAAAACAACTACTGTATATAACTGAACTCTGTAAAAATAATTGAAATAACTGTAAAGACACATTTTATAACAATTTTTAAAAATATCAATACCATTGTGAAAGACTTAAAGAGGAAAGGACTGAGTCTTGAGACAGCCCTCAAAATTGCACCAGACAGAAATAAGTGGAGATCCTTTGCGTCGCCTCAAGCGCCAGATGGCACAGAAGAGGATTAATAAGTAAGTACAGTAGTTAAAAATATCTCAAGTAATATGTTTACCAGTGGCAGGGGTAGTAAACAGGGACTCCCTCCCCCCTCCAACCTTCACCACAGGCCTAGGCTAGGCCTAGTTGAGGAAGCAAATGATTTTGTCATGGATAAAATGTCCGAGAGGTGGATTTTCTGGCCTATACTTAAACTTTTCTCTAAACCTTAGTGTAGTTTTGAACCTCAAATGGGGAATTTCTTTGAGAAAAGGGTAAGGGCACATAGAAAAATTTATTAGATTATCAATCTTTGATAAGGGAGGGCTGCTTTTTTTTTTAATCGGAACAATAGATTATTTTGCTTTTGTTTTTATCAATGAGGGAGGGACTGTTTTGGCTATTAATAGTAAATATTGTATAAAAACTGGTTTAATTTTATAGTTTTTTTTAAAGAAAATGTATTTGAAGTCACAAGATTGCATTGTTATTTTAATGCTATTGAAATACAGTAAATGATGCGGCTAAAAAAATTATTTTTTAATCCAGCTTCAATAATTTCCCGAATTTTTGACGCAGGCAGGAGTGATAATGAATCACTCCTACCCGCGTCAAAAATTCGGGAAATCTAATAATAAAAATATTTCTATTTGCCCTAAACTAAAAACAGGCTTTTTTTTGCACTCCTCCAGTCCTAGCCTGTTTGTCAGTTCAGTTCAGTTCAGTTTTATTTGGCTCTCACTTTTTAAACAGTGGCACACACAAAAATGTGGTGCATCCATAAAACATACAAATTACAAGTTGAGAAAAATTCAAACAAAAAAAATACAAAACGATAGATGAGAAGAGAAATACATAGCTAACTAGATTACAGAACAACAAAAATAATAATAAAAATCAATAGCAACAACAAAAATAATGAAATCAATAATAAAGAAAATGAATATAATAATAAAAATAATAATAATAATATAATAATAAAAATAGTTATCATAATATTAATTTAAAAGATCAATTACAAGCAAACACAAAGTGAGATGTATTGTACAAGGAGTAACCAAGAAATATGAAATCAAAGGGGATTTTGGGATACCATTTCGGCATTTACCATACCTTCAGTTTTATTGGTTTTAATTTTGTCAATGTCACGGAATTATGAATGATGGTGATGCAGACCAGCAGATTCATGTCAGAATATACGGTACCTAACCTACGTGAAACGGTATCGATCGGCGTAAATAGCCTACTCCACAACTACTACTATGCAGCCGAGTTCAAACGATCGGCCAGTCAGACTTGAACAGTTTAGAGCACAAACTACGCTCAATTTGACTTTGACGTGCCAGTCCTCACACACTGCGTGCGCTGGCCAGGGAGTTATGCTATCTATCTAGTCTAGGCTAGCTTTAGCTAAGCCTAGGCTAGTCTCAGCCTGATGAAAATGGCATCGACAGAGAAAATCTGACCTCTCCTCCTTGCCTTTATATGCTGCAACCAATCATCGAAATGTTATCACTCTTTTTACTTATGCAGTTGAACACTTCTAACACATAGTGCAAAACAAAAAAAGTTATAATATCAACTTACTCATCTCCCCTTTTTGTGTGTATTTTCGCATCAATTGCATCGCGTGGTTATCAAAAACTCAAGGAAGGATGGGGTTTAGAGTTTCGTGAGGAGCGGCCAAAATAATGAAATTAAATTGTTCCCGTTAGAGGGCAGCAGATTCTCAAACTTCATCATTGACAACGAAAAAATATATAGATTAATTGGTGTTTCAAGAGCATTTTAAATATTAAATTATGTTGATGTACTATTATTGCTAAATATTAAAGATCATTATTTTGTTTTCCGTCTTCTTACGTAGAGTTCTCATAGTACAAATTCAGTATCGGCATCAAATCTAAAGATGAAATCGCCATCATTAAGTGACAGTACAGTTCTATCAGTTGCAACCATGGCGGGGGATGAAACAGGGCTTTCTGTCCTGATGCTTGAAATTTATATAGCGCATTTCAAAATGCGAAGGCCGCTCTAGAACTATTATCTATTTAGTGTACTGTACTGTAATTGTTTTTTGAATCAATTCCATAGAAGAATGTCCACAAAATATACAACCTGTGGAGTAGTAGTAGTTGTAGTAGTAGTAATAGTATGCTGTATCAGTATTCAGTCATTTTTATTATCATAATTATTATCTGTCTCGTATCATGGTATCATCATCATCATCATCATCGTTAATACTGTTATTTTTGTTATTATAGGTAGGCCTATTAGTATTTATAAATTTACTATTAGGTCATATTAAGTTCTATTATTAGTAGGGTTTACTATTTTCATTAGATATTTTATTATTAATATTATCATTGTAGTAGTATGCTTAATATTAGTAGTCTGAGTATTACCGATTTTTTTTTTCTCTCGTTGTTACCTTATTAGCATTAACATATGCCTACTACTTTCTTACTATTGAACACGGTGGCGCCAGAAATTTGCCGACGGGGTCCGACATGTCCGACGAATTATTATTATTCTTTTTGATCCGACGACCACCACCACTGTGTAAGCTATGGATGAAGTCAAACAACAAAAAACCAAGTAGACACTGTAAATTTCTTCCAAGTGTAATTACACACTGAAAAATATGATAATAAGTTGGTTATTGAATACTCTAATATAGATTACATACAATCCAAAGTAGATGAAAAATATTGTAATTTGTTCAACTATAGATTGCCGAGCTCGTAATACATTTTAATAGGCTGCAATATTCCTAAACATGATTGTTCTGTAGTACGGTGGCATTGAGTAGCCTCTGCTGAAATCAATTGTAATTAGTACCGTATTGTCGTATCGCGTGTCCCCAAATAACATTCAGTACGTTTCGTGCTGCTTAGTTTTCAAATTAAGCCTAATGTCTGTGTTTCAAAACTTGAGTCATTACTGACATTACATAACGTTCAATAATTATGAGGCTGTGCGCACAGAAGAGAAAAATATCATTAACGATATTGGAAAGAAATGCGGTGAACGAAATATAGTTTAATGAGCAAAAGCTACAATGACTAACGAGTTTCCGTTGGAAGTACAATCATCTAGATTGCAATAGTACCATTGAATTCTACAAGAATTGAAATGGTGAATTTACAATAGCATTATAGTGTGACAGGAAGGTTACCATAATCAAACACTCCAGCAGTAAGATCATCTGCTCACTATATTGAATTTTCGTATTTCTCAAATGCACAGTTAACATATTAAAACTATTTTAATATTATATAGGCCTAGGAATATATGTGTAAACTATTTGTTATTTTAGATATACACCCTTTATTACTATGTTAATGAGACAAGATGATCTGTCTAAGCAATTTGATTATGTCTTCACTTACACGCTGAAGAAGACTGTAGGAACAACCGAAATATACGTGAAACTTATAAACAAATATTTTTGTGTTCCTTAAGTCTACCTTCGATGTCTGTATTTTCATTTACCATCGTCTCCATATTTTTCTAGATATACATATATATATATACATATATATATATACATATACATATATATATAAATATATATACATATATATATATACATATATATATACACATATATATATATACACATATATATATACATATATATATATACATATATATATATATATTTTAGGACTATATATATTCTAAATAGTGTACAGTATGGCTTAAATTCAATTCCTTGAGGTCTATGGTTAAGATGCTTGCTTTTATAAAGGTCAAAGGTAGAATCCCGCCGAGAAAATTTTTCCAGACAAACCATAGGAAAGGTTTTGAAGAACCGATTATAATAATCTTGTTTTTTTTTTTTTTAATTAATAGTGCGATCAGAGCTTAAACAACGTTGCTAATGTTGCTGAAACGTTGTAATAATTGTGATAACGTCATCTTCTTGCATAACCTAATCTTCTTGCATAACCTAACCACAACGTTCACGAACGTTAATAACATTTTGTGTTACTGCTTGTAGTCTGGTGCATAATCTAAGATATTATGAAGTTGCATGCATTTTAATAACATTGCCTCGTCTGGTTGTGTGCGAGAAGCGAGCGTTAGGGTATTTTGAAAGACTTTAAACTTGAGCAAATCATACAATGTTTATTAAACATGTTTAAAAGCATACCGTATATGACAAAAAGTATTGAAATTATTTTATTAGAATCAAGTGGCAAAAAACCCGATACAACACCCAAATTAAATTATTTCATAGCACAGGCCTACATGTCCATAGGCCTTATTATTTAGCCATTTGTGTTATTTGAAACATTATAAAATTGAGAACGGCAAAGAAACCAACATTTTTTAATTCATGGATCTTGTTACACTAAAATTATTCGTTTAATCAGTATGCAGGCCTAGGCCCACATTATTTACTAACAGAAAAATCCATTTTAGTTTCTTGTTGTGATGCGTAATTTCGTGTCGTCGTCTTCTATTTCTTCACTTGTGAAAATGCCAAAATCTTGCTTCGGGTCATCCTGACTTGAATTATCTGATAACGAGTTATCATACTTTTCTGCAAGAATATCTTGTTCAACGTCTTCATCTTCTTCACACAATAAACCAAGTTTTGGTGCATTTCTTGATGTCTCTAAAGGAGGTAGAAAGTTTGAGCGGGTATTTAGGCGTCGCCTCAAAGGAACTGAAGGAAGATGTTCTAAGGAAACTATGCTGTTCGTTTGTTCTGTTATTCTTTCGCGATCCCGCTTTTCCTTTTTGTAGTCTGCAAAAGATGAGTTACAGATTTGTTGCAAAATACTAAATACTTCTTCAGCTTTTTCCTGTTTACTACAAATGGCAGCATGAACACGTAGCTCAACTTGCTTGTGTTTACGTTCGTGGCGATAAACCCAGCAAAAAACACGAGTAAAATTTTGATCAACGCACCTGTGCGAAATCCGGTGGATTTGGTATAATTGCGCCATTGATTGTCTGTCTCTATTTAATCCTTCCAGTTTTAAACCTTTCGCAGAAATCGTCAGTTTTATTTTCGCTGACTTCTTACCTTGGTTGGTTTTCTTCCATAATTTTCGCACTGCACTCTCCGTGCAACCTTCACCTTTCGCTACTAATGTTCGCACATTACCAAGATAACGTATGTTGTATATGGGATCTTCTGGTGTTACAGTAAATTTCTGCTTCGTCCGTTTGAAGACATTGGCCACAACATCCATCCTAGAGATGATGGTGAACACCGCTGATTATTAGTTAATAAAAGTGGTTATACAGAGAAATTTTCTTTGGAAATTTACATAAAGTTGAGGCATGTACGAAAGCAAAATGAATACTAGTGCCTGGTAAATTTCAATAAAGCGAGATGATACACAGTGTACGGAGTAGATGTTCGGTTTGCTCACTGAAGGCGTTAAGTGCTAGTAAATAGAAATGACCTCTCATTTATACCTAGTGCACGATGACGTAGTTGTTTAAAATAGAAATGTGTCAGGTGGCAGTCTTCTTAGAATTGGCTCAACTCGTCTGTTTCTATGTTACGTCTCCATCAAGCGGCGTTTCTAGTTTCTATATAGACCTAGACCTTTACAGTACTGGTTTTTGTTTATAATATAAGCCTGGTAATTTTCTTATTATATTTTATGTACTGTATTACATAACTACGGTAAGACATTTCTGCAGTTATCCAATTAAAATAGTAATCCGTTAATCGCCTCAATCTCTAAAACAAGAACCACGCCCATTATTCATGTTGTACAATACGTCATTAGACAGAATTTCAAAGAGAGGAGTATGTTCTTCGGTAAAATTTCAAGAAATCCTGAATTTATATTAAATTTTTTAATTAACGAATTAATCTGAAAAGCAGAAATTAGTAATATAATTTACCCATTTTTGTTTATATAGGCCTACGCCTAAATTCTTTATTATATTTTTTATGTATTACATAGGCTTAATAACCGTAAGAATTGATAATTTAAAAGCATAGATTAGTTATTAATTAGAATATCGAACTTTATGAAGTATTCGCTCATTTTTGACCTACATTGTTTTGGCTATATACAAAAACCATATGGTAGGATCGGTAACCGGGAAATGTATGACGGTCTGGTTAAAAAAAAAGAAAGAAAATTGAGCTCTAACTTCAATGGTAAGCTATTTATTCCAATGCTAAGACAGACATAAACAATGTAAACATATTGTTTTGCGTTTATTACTCCCTGATTAAAGGTGAGGTAAAGGTAGGAGAAGAATTACCCATAACTTGTAGCGTCATTGTGCTGAATTGCGTATGGGCGTGGTCCGTGACTACAGCAGCCACAAAGAGGTGCTTCATAGTAGCAAGGTACATTCCACAACGACAGGGGCTGAATTATGAACCATAACATCGGGGTAATCTACTATACTCTTCTGAAAGATGCAATGGGTACTTTAATGTGCACACGAGCCAGAATGTATACGCTGGACCTCCATTTTAAGACTTTATCCTAGAAGACTTGGTTCTACCAACCGAACCATGGGCGAGGAGCGGCTGGAACCAGCGCCGATAGGCTGTACAGCTAGCGGCGCCCCTGCCTTACCGCTCGGTCAATCGACTCGCCCATTTTAGCTCAACAAAGGCAAATAGAAGACCTATAATACTCCTAGGCCATGTCAATCTTTATTTTCGAACACGTCACCGCAAAAAATATTATAGGCCTATAGACTGTCTGAGTCGTCATCGGATAGGTAACTAAGCATGCCATGAAAATTGAGATTCGCTAATCGCCGCGGGTTGCAATCGTCTCTTGAACTCTGCCTCGCGAGCGATTTCTTGAAACAGGACATTCTCGGATCATGAATTTAATATTATTCTGGCTTAATTTCAAATTGTGATGTAAACTTTCATACGGTATTTGAACGCTGACGTGCGCTGAGAACTAATCATAATTTCATATGTGTTGATTCCTGATGATGGCATAATTGTAATGTCGAAATATTGAATCCCGACACGGTGGCGTGCATTTCGATACCGGTGCTTGGAGTATAGCCTATAGGCCTATAATGTGCTCTTATTGTTCGGCTTGAAAGTTGCATTTAAGGCGAAAACTTCAATGGACCTTTCCGCTAAGCTCCGCCCCTTGGATTTTGTTGCTAAGGCCCCACAAGACGGCAGTGTTAAAACATACGCGAACACGTCTGTTTGTAAGACGCGCGCGTATTCCTAGCGTTGTTCTGATTAGTCAGTTGTTAAGTTTGATTGACACTCTGGAAAGGTCTATTACCTCGTCTTTCAGATGGGCCATTAACACATTGCTCTTTACGCGTGGACAAAAAGTTTGCTCTTTTGCAAAATTGGAGATTGCTTGAACCAAGCGATGGCGCTGCAATGTGGACGTCGTGTGCCCCTTAAGACTAATACAAATGTCCATGTTTCAAAACCGAAACTTCCTGGTCTATGAAAAGACGATTGTATCTACATACACAGAAGGATATCAGAGCAATTTCATTGTTTTGGTTGACGTGAATAATATATTTTGATCAGTAATTGTTATTGTGATGGAATAACTAGAAAATGGATTCAATGCTAACAAATTCAGATGATGTGGAAGTATTAGATCTCTGTAAAAATTATAATTTTTATTTGACAAAAAACTGTTGTATGCCCCTAGATGTGCCATTTATGATGTGCTGACATCATGACCTTCGTGATCAGGCATGTCACAAGTTTTTGTCAAATAAAATTTGATATTCTGGACCATGGAGGTATTAGAAATTATTGAGTATTGGCGTTAAGCGCTATATTCAAGATTCAAGATTCTTTTATTATCTGAAATAAAACGCAGAAATTGCAATCACTGGCAAGGTAACAAGTGTTAATATATATCATATAATAAATAAAGAAACAATTACAAAAATATAGAAACTAGTTAGCACCAAACAATATCTAGTCAAGATGAACATACAAAGAAAATTAAATACAATTACACGTTAAACTTAAGCTAAACTTAAACTTAAACACATTAAACTTACTACTGTACTACTAATTAAAACTATAAATTATCTATTAATATTGTTATTATAAAGGTGAATGGAGTTGGGAACAAAGGAGTTTCTATAACGGCAACGTGTGGTGGGTGGTACATTTAGACGGAAACCTGAGTTGTTAAAAGTAAATTCATTATGTAGTGGATGAGTTGTGTCGTTCATTATTTTCTTAAGTTTAGCTAGTGTGTATTTTTCATAAATATAATCTAAATTTATAATGTCGTCTTTAACAATTTTCTTAACAGTCTTCCTGATGGAGTCTAATTTCTTTATATTTTGTTTAGTCAGGTTTCTATATGTACAGATTAAGCAGTAAGTTAAAACACTCTGTATTATTGCATTGTAAAACAAGATAAGAATGGTGTTGTATACATTAAGCTTCTTAAGTTTTCTTAGAAAATACAATCTTAATATAAGTCTAACATATTATTATTTTTATTATTATTATTATTATTATTATTATTATTATTATTATTATTATTATTATTATGCCTAATTATTATTATTACATTATTATTATTATTATTATTATTATTATTATTATTATTATTATTATTATTATTATTCAAAAATCTCTATCTCATTAACTGATTTCGATTTTTTCATGAAATATGCTTTTTGTCATCCACGCTTAAATACGGTACAGGCGCAAATCATTATATATTGGAGTTTTTGGAAGGGCTAATAAGATAGAAATTTTTTAATAATTAGGATGTTATTTGTACAAAAAGAAATTATTTGGAATGTTTATTTGTACAAAATTATGATATCTTAAAATTGAAAAAAAAATATAATAAAAAATATAAATTTTAAAAAACATACCAAGACGCGATTCGTACTCACAAACAAACTTAAGTACTTTACAACACGTCCTTAACCGATCGCGTCATCCATGCGTCGTACTTTCAACACTGGAAATGGCAGTAATATACAGTCCTTGATGAAACCACTGTTTTGTTTTGTAGGTAGGGAGTTTAGAATGTTCATTCGTGCAAAATTAAAATATCTTAAAATTGAAAAAAATAGAATAGGCCTATCTTAAAATTGAGAAAAAAATGATTCCCAATACGCGATTCGAACTCTCAAGTTCTTTAAAACACATCCTTAACCGACCGCGCCTTCCATGCGTCGTGCCTTTATCACTGGTAATGGCAGTACAGTCCTTGCTAAAACCACTGTTTCGTTTTGTAAGTAAGGGGAACCCTGAGCTCCAACTTAAAAAAGGGCGATGAACGTTTGTTGTAAATCACCTCCAGTTTATGTGTAGGCCTACAAACTTTCCTGCACGCCCGTTCAAAACTGCGGCGACGCTGGACGCTTTTAAGGTTTTGGTAACAAGAACAAGAACAGCAGTGAGGCTCTGAGTTCAGCGCCTTGGACGTAGGCCTATAAAGAATTAGAAATAGGGTATTCCACATCACATAAATTAAGCTATATTGTTCTACGGCCTATTGTCTATTTTAAAATAATGAAAACTTAAATACACTGGTGCGCACGTATACCTGGAGTGAAAATTGCCGATCATAAAAAAATCTTGATTTAATAAACTAGGCCTACTATTCTCCACAAAATATAACGAAATTTATCGTAATTTTAATTGTAATTATTTCTCCTTTTGTGAACGGAAAATTACTAGAGTATACTTTTCTTATGTAGCTTCTTTCTATAAGTTTTTTTTTTCATTAACCCTCATAAAATATTGCAACTTGCAACTTTGGATTTCAGATATCAGATTTTGTCAGACAATGTTAGATGCAAATTTCCTCAGCTGAGATGTCGTCAGGCGATTTTCGATGTGAGATGTAGGCCTACGACGCCGATGTCAAACGTCAATTGTTAATTTTATTTTAAATGTCAGAAGTTATATATGCCTACATACTATTAGGAAGGCTTGCTCTGGCTCATATTTCACAAACTGTAGACCTACACAGGCATTAATGACATACTGCTAACTAGGAATATTTAAACTTGTACCGGTATCAATTTTCAAATCTTTTAGTCATATCCTTTCTTTTGATACTTCTAAACATGCTCTAAGCACCCATGTTTTTATATGCAATGATATTCATGGTCACAGTCTGTGAAGTTATCGATATTATTGTTGATGTTATTACTAATTTTTTAATTTTTTATTATTACTATTACGGTACTAGGTAGACCTACTTTTAATGTCTTTTTGCAGTTAATTCAATTCAATTAAATCTTTATTCATTTCATCATAAAACGATAAAACAGATAAAATACATACAGAGAGGTTGTACGTTTATTCGATCCAGTCAATTTGTAACTAAGTATTCAAATCCATTAAAATCATTAAAAGTTGAATAAAATAAAGGGACAACAGTGCAAAAGCATACTTAAATTGTACAAAAATGTGAATAATTTAAGTTTTAATTAATACAAACTGAATTGGGTTTCTTGGTGGTTCCTTTTCCTTATTTTCTATTTTTTGCAGTATTGTTTTTGGATGATGAAAAAAAAATGTTTTTGTTGTATTGCAAATCTTAGGCCTACTGTACCTTTGAACATTAGCCATTTCTGTGTATTGCATGTAGATCCAGTGAAGTGAAAGCTTCGCTTCTAAACAATGTATTAATGTTCGTCTCATCGCCATAAAACACAGAAAGATTTCTAGGTTAGCAATATCTATACACTTTCTGGTAACTGTGGTGGTACTCACTGCATAGGCCTAAATAAACCTTTACAGTCTTTCTCAGTTCAGCCGCAGGTCTGAGTTTAACTGTCACAGTTTGTACATGTGCTTACAAGACTACAATAGCAGGGGTTTTATACTGTAGTAAGATTAATCCATTTGCTTCAATTCTCCTTTTTCGTCAGCCTCTAGTACTTTCAAATGGGATACCCAAATAAAAGATTTATCTGTTCATTTATTATGGGTTTACAGAAATGTTCGCAAACGTAAGTGAACAAAACTGTATTATGATTGTTTGTTGTCGAGTTAATATTCAATGTAAGCTATATAAATAATACCATACTGAATTGTGGGTCTCCTGGAGTTGATACTTACCTAAGGGGCTACACATCGTAAGCAATCACTCTTCCCTGTATCGACCAGAGAATAGTGAGTTATGTTTAACTGTAGAGACAAAAACTAAGAGCAGTTTATTTACATAATACACTTACACTTCAATTAAACACCGCATCATCCTCAATTATCTTCACGTGTGCTGACTGCACAGGTTGAGACTAAGGGCTTTCACAGCATAAATCTATGTTGAAGTTCAATCTGTCCAAGCTCCTGAGTAAACAAGTTATATTTTGCTCATGGGGACAACCGTTGTGAACTGGCGATTCGGTTTAGCCCACTGGCGGAGCGTCAAAACGATATGAGGTCACTGCTTTATGCGAGCAATCATTGGTGTTTTTTTTTTCTCCACTACATCTACCGCTTCTACTAACATACAAATTAGTTTCTGAGAGCTGATCAGTTTGATTAGGCTAAAAGTACAAAAATTGTTTGTGTTTTAAAAATCAGTCTCAATACAATTTGCTTAGACAGTCGCATAGTGTTACTCATGTGTAAGCTACTTCGTAATTGGTATTATTTAGTAAGGTTCAAAGGCCCAAATCTGTTTTGAAAGGTGGGGGAGGGACATTCCGTGAGACCACACCCACATTAGGCCCACCATGGCTGTGGCTGAGGTGTGGAAATTTTAGAAAATTGTGCTCTCCAGATGACCGGAAATGACACTCTATAGTAAAATTCATTATCACCACATCATCATTATAGTCAAAATGAAGTGCCAACAAATTTCTCATGATCTTTTATTAGGGATTTTCGGCAGTCATAGAGATCGAATTAATCCTTGTGTGATGCACCATATAGAAAATAAAACTTTATTGTCTTTGATGTATTTACTTTATTTTACCTACTAGTTCATGTGCCGTCGAAAACCAAACTTAACTTTACACGCCTTTTTTTTCTCATACTTCTCAAATTAAAATAAAGCACACGAATTTCAAGTCGTGTATAGGTATTTTTTTTATATTAATTTGTGCGCAGAGATACCGGTATTTCTCTGTAACATGTATTTTGACTGTACAGGGCTCTTTCGACAATTTTTCAGGCATTTTTTGACATGAAATTGCATTGCTACAGAAAAGTGGGGGAAACCATCCCCATGTTAAAAATATGTGGGGGAAGTGTCACCCCGTCCCCCCATAATAATAAGGTTATTTGCATCAAATAATTACTACCCAGATAGAACCCGGCAAATGATCAATTCAAAACTTTTGAGGCAACAATCTATTCCTCATTTTGAACCTCTTTAATAGATTTTTCAATTGAAATGCAATTTGGAAGAGCCCTTTAGTGGAGCATTTATGCGTGTATCTTTATTATTTACATTGTAAATAATTTCAAACTTGTTTGTATTGACGGCTGAGAGGACTTACCGAAATGTTGTTCTCGGCCAATGCTCATTATGAGTCACAAAACCCCGTAAAAATTAAACGTAACAGGCTCGTAACTAACGGTCCGATGCGCAGCCATAAAAATATAGTCAGAGACAATTAATTCAGTCCATGACCCACAATTATTTTGGATCGAATGAATACTTGCTTTACTCATCCACATTGTCCCTCGTGGGACATATGGCTGCAAATCGAATGAATAGCCATATTGCTGTAAATTATTTTCATTATTTTTGTAGGCTTTTGTGTATTCTATTTATATTCATTTTTATATTATTAGGCTATTTTTTAATTTTTTTCATGGAGAAAATGTCACATTCCTATGTATTTTTCTGTCACATAAATACAGCATTTTGGTCGAATGAAAAACATCAGAACACCATTGTTGAAACACTGCGAATAATACAAATAATGAAAAATAGTCAAATTTAATATCAGTGCAAATATCCTATAATCTTACGTTGTAAGCAATGGATTAAACTAATCTTTTAAATAATGTATTAAATCTGAAAGTAATTAACATGAGAATGGTACATACTGTATTATCAAAACAAATTAATAAATATGTAATGCATCATCATACGACTGGAAAAGCCGTACATATTGTGTAATAGAGTGTATCCGACGTTATTTGAATCTGTTCAACCATGAAGCCTTTGTGGTCTAATGGTTATGACGCTCACCTTGCAGAGTGAGTTCGCAGGTTCGAATCCCGTCTGAGAAATTTTAAAACACAATCTCTTTATTTATCTATAGGACAACATTCGTTGAGAGCTATGCACACGATGTATTTTCATGTTCTTTATTCGAACACTGTATTTACTTTTCTTCGATGATTTATAGGCCTATAGCCTATAATTTAACAGACGTGTTAACCGCTACCTTGATTTATGTAATATAATATAGACAAAATATAAGCTATTTCTGCTTTAAGATCAAGGGTATATCGAAGAGGGAAACATAAAGCATGCAGCATTAGTAGTAAAAATAAAGCTATTTCTTACCTACATAATTATATCAACAACCCTTTTAAACCATTGTAACATTATACGGTACGAAAATTTAAGTAAAATTAATAGCATTACCTACTTTTTAATATCCAAGGTTGTGATGTACTGTTATGTACGTCTAAGCAGTTTAAAAGTCAATAAACCAAACTAAAATTAAAAACACTGGCAAGAAAGTAAACAACAAGCAAAGGAGTGTAACTATAAGTATAAAGTAACCTTACTAATAATGTTAAAATGAAATGAAATAGGGACCTACCGGTAATAAAAAGACGAAACCTAAAAAAGTACCGGCGCCTAGTGTGTGAAACTAAACTGAAGGTAGCGGTGTCACATATATTTCGACTACCAGAGAATTCGACCTCTAGCTCGGACCCTGATTCTGGAGAGTACTGAATTTGCTATACCGTTACTTCCAGAAGAGAGCCGACAATACTGGGGAGGGAATCCTCCTCGCACCGGCATCTGAAACCGAACTGATTTTTTTTTTTCGGAACGAAGCTGCTTTTTAAATACTGGGCCCGCCTTTGAATTCTGCCACCTAATTCTAATATACTGCAATAATACAAATTACAAATTTGTAACACATGCGAACGACGCATGCGAATGCACATATGAAATTACAACCTGTACGTGTCACGTTTTTTGTATTATATGTAAACCAGGAGGGTTTATCAGATAAAGAAAATTTGCGCACCTTTCCACGAAACTAAACTGCCTAGTTGAAAGCCAATTAGGCCTATGTGCGAAAATGACTCGTTTGTTAAATTAGGCCTACATGATTGTAACACATGCAAAGACACATCATATACACACATGCAATTACAACCCGTTTTTAACCATGCATCATATTTAAATCAGAAGTGTCCGATCCAATACGTTTTCAAGAAGGTCTAAATTTGCTCAAAATGAGCCAACCTACCACTGTGAATCGAAAAGAAACAACATTTTTTTAGAGTAAATGTGTGCAAAAAAATTGTAGTTAGTAATGCAAAAGTAAAGTTACAAAAATGAAACACGAAAATGACGCATGCAAATGCACACATTAAATACGACCAGTGCACAGTGGTGTATCCAGGATTTTGAAAACTTGGTGCTGAACAGAAATATTACATCCGCAGAACTTTACGCAAAACCCAAAACGACGGAGCATTTGACTACACTATAAATTGATGCCAACGTCTAAAGAAACTTCCTTTCCATTTATTTCTATTATTTTTTTTTTCACGTTTGAACAAAAATCGTGACCAGTCCCTTTTGATTTACGGCACTGGTACATGACATGCACAACGAAAATCCTAATGTGTACCCACGATACGAATGGCGTGCGTAGGCTGTGTACACACCATCAAGGCGGCGCTAGCGAAGGGTCAGTGGGAAGGATCCCCATCGGGGACCTCTGAACCACCTGTCGGGGAATTTTCAGCAAGTTTGCCGGGGAAAAATCAAATATCGAGAGCCGAAAGTACAATTCAAGCATGCCTTACTAAGCAGTCAAATTTTAGAGATTAAAAACTGTTTAGCGTGGAGAGCAGTGCCGTATGTGCGTGGTGTTTTATACTATTGCGATCGTATGGGTTGCAATGGTGGCGCTCTTCCCCGACATTGGGACTCATGTATGGTTTTCTATCAAATCATCCTTTTTAAATAACTAATTATCACAAAATTTTATTATTTTTTAATTTAAAAAATTCCATGAAATTTTATTTTTTCCCAGAATGGGGTGGGCGGGCCCCTCGTCGAGGAACTACTGGCGCCGCCCCAGCGCACGATACGGATGGTGTTAATGCAAATTACATGCATATAATTATAACGCATGCGCCACAATATACATAGGTATGGCACACAGGCCTAAGAAACTAAGCATGGCGCATGCATATTTGTACATCACACCCATGCATACCAGCTACACGCATGCCCACGGACACAAGCGTAAACGTACTCATTCATACAAAATGACACACGTGCAAATTAAACGTACAGTAAAATGATAAACATGCAACTGTACGGAAGTGACACATGTAAATAGCACACATGCATTTAATACACATGTAATACATATACAAAATGTAATGTGTATAAGAGACAGCATATGAAATTACAACCTGTACGTGTCACGTTTTTTGTATTATATGTAAACCAGGAGGGTTTATCAGATAAAGAAAATTTGCGCACCTTTCCACGAAACTAAACTGCCTAGTTGAAAGCCAATTAGGCCTATGTGCGAAAATGGTGACTGGCAACATACAAAGTATTAAGAGTTCCTAAAATTTTTCAGCACGTTGGAGAGCATAATGCTATTATTTGAAAGACCATTGAACATGCGTTCTAAGATTCAGCTCATAAGTTATGTTTTTTTTTTAATGTAATGATCGAATTCTTCTTTCTAATTGACCAACATGTTGAACATGTGGGCCACTAACCATACGCAATATTTCATGCACTCTAAGGATCTCTGCATACTTTATTTTTGTTGTAAATGTAACTATCAAACTCTGCTTTCCAATTGACCATGTACGTGTTACTCCATTCCCTAAATTCTGATTTCCACTGGCTTTCTGCTTCGTCGATGTTACCTGTAAAATCAATCAGATTAAACAGTATTTATCAGGAGTAAGTGGCACGAAAATATGTCATCATCGATTCGCTTATATATAGTCAGCAAAAAATATTAATTGACTGCATTAAGACTTGTGGGCTCGAGCCTGTTCGAGATTGAATTTCTGTTTTAACTTTTGTTTTAATAAGAAAATTTTATAAGAACACCGATGCTGAAATTTCTTGAAAAATAAGATCAAAATAACAACTGATGAGTTTTTCATTAAAATAAACAAATAAATAAACCAATAAAAAAAAACACCAGGAAAATTCTTTTGGTCTTATTGTGCTGTACATTCTGTGCAATGGGTGTTACTATTTAATACCCTTTTTAACACAGCAATATGCTGCTGTACAATAAAAATTTCCTATCTTTGAAAAGTGTGTAAAATAGGAATAAAATAGAACATTTTGAGGCCGATAATGGCGAAACAATAAGAACACCGAGTCTGGGCAAAATTTTACTGGTTCTTATAAAAAAAAAGTGTATAATTTTTTACCTACTTGATTGTAGTAGTAATGTTTTTCACTTTGGCCTATCATTTTCTATTATGATTTCAATTGAAAACAGTAAATACGGTTCCGGCCCATTGCCACCCTTCCTGTTTCCACCCTGTCTTTTGCCACCCGGCCTTTTGCCACCCTAGGTCCGTTGCCACCCGGTTTTTTGCCACCCACGAAATACATATCTAAAGGAGGTGGATTGTATACACTTCTGTGTATAAGATTAAATGGTCAGACCTCTTGTAATATTTCCATGAGTATTGGATTTCAACCGTTATGGACAACAAATGTGGATCTTTGAACCTTTGTTTTATAATAATGGTTGGTACGCAAAACTTGTCAAAAATTATTGTCTGAATATTTGAATTGTTTTCATGTGTAGGCCTAATAAATATAGTACTGTATGTTTACCTGTCATTGCTTCTAACTCTGGTAAGTAATTTTCCCAAAACATACACTGCTTTGCTCTTGGGCCCTGACCTACAATAGCAGTAGGCATATTAACGTCAACCAACGATTCATTTAAAACCAAAAATTCGAGATCCTCGGCTGTGTGAAGCGGCCACCTCAGCTCTTCCATGTCCGAATCGGATTTAATATTCGGATTTCTACACAAGATGAAAATTACAAAAACTACAAAATTAACATGATTTTAAATTATTATATCATTTTTATAAAAACAAAAATAAAAAATAATATTTGAATACCTCTATTGATATTAATTAATGATAATGTGATGTTGATATGAATGATCATGACGATGTCAACGACAACCCCGTCGATATTGATAATGATGATTAGGTCTAGTAGTTAGTAGTAGCCCTAGTAGTACCAGCATCAGCAACAGCAGCAGCAGCAACAGCAGCAGTAGTAGTAGCAGCAGCAGTAGTAGCAGCAGTAGTAGCAGCAGAAGTAGCAGCAGCAGCAGCAGTAGCAGCAGCAGCAGTAGCAGCAGCAGCAGTAGCAGCAGCAGCAGCAGAGCAATAGCAACAGCAGCAGCAGCAGTAGCAGAAGCAGTAGTAGTAGCAGTAGTAGTAGCAGTAGTAGTAGCAGTAGTAGTAGTAGTAGTAGTAGTAGTAGTTAGTAGTAGCATCAGCAGTAGTAGCAGCAGCATTAGGAGTATTGGTTCCCACTTGCAGAAAACCTGCCGCAACGCAACCTACGCAACGAAACGTAAGGAAATGCTCTTCCGGTAATTTCGTATATCTCCTCCTTACGGAAAGTTGAATTTGCACTTCTTACGTGACGCAACGTAACAAAATGGATACGGTTCCCACTTGTCGCCGCGTTAAAACGCAATGATTTTCACAGGAAGCTTTCAAAAGCCGTTATTAAATTAGCATTCATTGTAGGGCTATGTATTGTAGGGTGGGACTGGGCTGTGTTCTGAATATTGCTTATCGCAGGCATAGCTGGGTTATGCCTGTTTTAATGCTTTGAAGTTAATTGATTTTTGTTTTTCAGTTGTAATAATAGGCCCACCCCGAAGAATAAAATAATAAATCAAAATTATTCAATTTTTCGCAGATATACGCCCCTAGATTAGGCCTAGGTCTAATTTTAGAGGTCTAGAAAATACATGATTTGTATTTCTCTCCGACGACTTTTGGTTTACCTCCCCGCCGGGGTGGGGGGCTCCCCTCCCGCCCTCCTTACCTGGCTTCACCCTGTGTAATATATATAATAGTTTTTGAAGAACAGTTGGGTAAGATAGGTTGCATATTATTAGTAATATTAATGTTTACAGTATTATATGCCATTCAGTAGAAGAGCACTGTAAGTGGTTCTATCAAAACTAGGCTATAGGCTTGGCTAGGCCAGGCCAGGCTATGATAGGTTTATGATATGATAGGCTATGATAATAATAACAGTAATAATAACAATAATAATTATTATTTAATTGGCAATGACTAGGGCGATGGCGACGGTTTAAAATGACAGAAAACTCATCAAAAAATGTAAACACGAAGCACTAACTACAAATCCAACAGTTAGAGCATGCATAGCTTTTTGTTAGCGTTGCGGCGCTTGCGTTGCGAAAAGTTTAATCGATTCAAATTTTCGCAAATAACGTAAAGACGATCCGCAAACAACGCAAAAGTTAAGTAGCGTCGGTGTTGCGTTAAGTAGCCAAGTTTGCGTCGTCGGTTCCCACATTGAAGCCGCAAAGAACCCTCGAGTTGCGTCACTTTGCGTCGATACATTGCGGCTGCGTCTTTGCGTTGCGTCTGACGTAGTAGTAGTAGTAGTAGTAGTAGCAGCAGTAGTAGCAGTGGTAGTAGTAGTAGTATAAGTAGCAACAGCAGCAGCAGAAGCAGCGGCGACGATGGCAGTGGTTGGAGTAGTAGTAATAGGCCGGTAGTAGTGGTAGTAGCCTAATTAAGTGTACTAACCCTGTTCTTGCAAAATTTGCATAGTATGCCATCATTTGGCGACTTAGTCGTTTATCTTCCACACTAAATCCGTTCTCTGGATGAAGTGGTAGGCCAAAGAAATAGGCGATCTCATCGCCATGCAATACACCCATCCAGTCTGGGAATGGATGATTGGAAGCCCGTTGTGTGAATCTATAATAATATACATCTTGATTAAATTCAGCGTAGGCCTTGGCGAATTGGAAAGTTGGACACACAAATTTGTTATCACCCGCAGCTTGATCGAGAGCATCCCGAAAACTTGCTTGGTTTTGTGGTTTCAACCAATCTGTATATTGAAACTGAATGGCATTATGAGCAAACCTATTTTTGTTTGGCCAACAATACTCAATCGCTTCTCTGAACTGCATCTCATCAAGTAGACTTTCTGTATGTAAGCTAAAACCTGGAATTTCATATATGGCGAAAAAGAATGCTTCATTTGTGTTACTTCCCATTATTATTTCACAAGGTTTAAATGCATTCTTTTGTAGCGTAGCTTCAGGAGTTTCAACAACAAATGTGCCGTCAATCACAGGAACAAACGCAAAGTTCAAAAATTCGCTAGTCACCCACATACCGTTGAGAATCTCGTCTGCCGTACTCAATCGCATACATTCTACCATTTCATCTGTGTTGTAAGGTTGCCCACTTGGGCTCTCAGTACAGTCCAGATTTTCAGCCAACAATGTCCCTCTTCTGGTAGCTTCTTGCTTGGTGTAACTGGCCCAAGGAGCATTTGCAGATGCACTCTGCATTACAGCACGGTTGAATAGATTGCGACTAACTGGTGACAATAAATGAAAACTGACACTTGCAGAGCCTGCACTTTCAGAGAACAACGTTACTACATTTGGATTACCGCCAAATCTTGCAACGTTTTCCTGGACCCATTGTAGTGCAAGTGCTTGGTCACGTAATCCGGCATTACCTGGTGCTTCCTCACCCATTGCTAAAAATCCAAGAGCTCCAAGGCGATAGTTCATCGATACCACAACAATGTTCTCTTCTGCAGCTAGAGTTTTGCCATCATAGACATCGAGTGAAGACACACCACTGAAATAGCTTCCGCCGTAGATCCAAACCATAACTGCCGCGTTACTTGGTCGAGGGAAAGGTGTCCACACATTCAAATTTAAACAATCTTCACTCAAGTTCACATTTGGATTCCACATCTCAGTTCCAGGAAATCCGGGAAACTCTTCGTCTCGAAGTTGCATGCAACCGTCTCCATATTTTGTTGCGTTTAATATTTGAGGCCAGTGCTCCTTTGGAACTGGTGGTTTAAAGCGTCGATCGCCAGTTGGCGGTTCAGCGTAAGGTATCCCAAGGAAAGCATCAACGGATTTATTCAAAACGTTAATGCGTTTACCACGAATCTTTCCTTGTACAACTTGTACTACGATATCTTCACAATGTATTACACAAAGCAATCGGAATGATAATACCAAACCCAGAAAACTGCTTTGGACTCTCATCTCGGAAATCTAAAATCTGAAAATGATCAGACAAAACTTTAGAGTAGTAGGACTACGACAAAAATTGTTAAATTATCATTGGTACCGCTATGGTTTGAGTGTCAATTTGAAAAAAAATTCCTATAAAATGATCGATGCAAAAGCTGCTACCAAATCTCTGAAAACCATTTTTTAGAGAATGACGTAACTGCTACATGAATATCTGATTAAAACACAAACCCTACCAAACCAAGATTTCAGCTCAAACAAGCAACATATTTGGATATCTATTTCACCTCATAAATTGTGACATGTTTGTTATAATGTACTACAAATTGTTCTTAATATGGAATGCAAATTAATTATTAAGTGTATAGGTCCTTTTCTATTTTTATAATCGTTTTATCAATCTTAATTTTAATTAATAATGTATATAAACTCTGTAATAATTAAATTAATTAATTCATTAAATAATTTTAATATATTCTTGTAACTTCAAAGAAATGCTGTTAATTTGCAAAACAAATGAATATTTTGTTGGCCAGTAGGGTTTTTTTTTAATATATTTGTTTATAACCTTTTCTATTGTGTGCAATATTTATGTCTTTTTCATTACTTTGGAGCAGCTGACTCTTGAATTACAGTAAGTTATCTGCTTTAGCTATTCCTGACCATTGTTTTGTCTGTGCTATTTTTAAAAGAGAACTAGCAAAATGATTTTTTGTTCTAGAGAGGATTTTTGATTTGCCATTAATAATAAAATCAACCTTAAAATCGTTTTTTGGCTTTTTTTAAATGAAGTTATAGGCGATTATATACGATTTTACCATAACATCACTGGCGAAAAAGTAACAAAAGATCGTGTAAATAGCGCCGCGTATATGGTATCCGCCGCGTACGATCTTTGCGTGTATGCTGTAACCATGGCTGTAAATTGTGATTGTTACAGCATGGAGGTATTAATAATACCTCCATGGTTACAGCATGCACTCAAAGATCGTACGCGACGGATACCCTACGCGGTGGATACCCTACGCGGCGCTATTTACACGATCTTTTGTTACTTTTTCGCCAGTGACGTCATAGTAAAATCGTATATAATCACCTATAACTTCATAAAAAATAGCCAAAGAACGATTTTAAAGTTGATTCTATTATTAATGGCATATAAAAAATCCACTCTAGAACAAAAAATCATTTTGCTAGTTCTCTTTTAATGTTTATATGGTTGAATAAATAAATAATAATAAAATGAAATGTTAGGTGAATTTCCACATATAAAATAGCAACATGCATTAAATAATAAATAAGATATTTAATAAAAATATACTCTTTACTCTAATGCATGAACAATGGCTATAACTCCTGATAAAATATATCATATTTCAAAAGAGGGAGATTTTATGATAGATACACTGCAATACAATGGAAGTATTTGCTGCATATACATGACCAAAAAATACACTAGGTACCGGCTACAAAAGGTATTGAATTTCACGTGTTTCCTGAATAAGGAGTTGATGAAGTATTCGTTGAAAGTATTTTCATCTGTCGTTTACCAGTTACTATGACAACTGTCCTTACGAGTAGTCATAAATGTAGTTAGACTAGTAATGAGACCCCATCGTAATGATCGTAGAGTTTAGGGCGTGATTTAACTTGCTGTATTACAGAAATTATTTTTTTAATGGAGAAAAAAGGATAATATTAATCAAATTTAGGTCTGATAGTGCCTTTTTCGGCCATCTAGAGGTGCCCCCCCCCCTGTCTCTTATACACATCTTTACTACATTTGGAAGATGTGTATAAGCCCCCTCTATTTGGAATTCCTGGATCCGCCACTGACTGCCACCACCACCACCACTGTTCTAAGCATTATAGGTCTCTCAATATTACTTGTAGCCTGAAATTCATTTGCGACTATTTTTTAGGCCCGTAGCCAGGTCATTTCAAGGGGGGTTCTCTGGGCGTGGGGTCCAGAGGCCTGCCTAAGGGCCCCGGTGGGGTGGGGGGCGAAGCCCCCGAAGCCAGAGCAGTTTTTGTGTTTAATGGGTCTATATAATGTTATAAAAGCAGTTATTTTTTGAAAAAGATCTATGTAATAAAAAGGTGGTAATATAATAAAATTAGAAAATATTTCGTGAGTGGATTTCCCGTACGATTAAAAATCGTAACGGTACTGCATCGTGAGTGGATTTCCCGTACGATTAAACATCGTAACGGTACTTGGTTTGGTCTACAGGAGTTCGTGCTTCGAACAGGTCATTCCATTCATAGAAGAAGCCTTTTCATGGAGAAAGTGTACATTTTTAGCAAAGGTTTGTCTAGGTCGAAAATAACTCCGGCTATATAAAAATTGATTAGAATATTGAAAATGTTATTCGTATTAATGAATATATAAAGATTACTAGGCCTAATATGTCCATTTTTATTGATCTAATCTACGTGTATTTACTTTCATAGTTTATATTTAAATATTTAAAATTATTTATAAATTTATTTAAAATACTATATGAAATAACGTAATCATTAAAATTTATGATAATAATTGATAACATGTTAAATACAGACACAAAGTATACATAAACCTATTTCTAGATTACAGAAAATATGTAAATCTGTATTAAAATGTTATAAATGTGTATATACATGGAAATATTATGCGTAAATATGTATTTAGTATAACAAATTAAATTTAAACGAAAATATGGAAGAAGCAGAGGAAGAAAGAAGAATAGGAAAAAATTGAAAATGAACAATAATAATCATTTTTTCATTATTGCGTCACGTTTTTGTGAAAATAACCCAAAGGACTATCTGTCGTGTTCTTCTTTGCCACAGTGGACGAGAAAAGTCAGTTATTCTACGACGTTTCGTAATTCTTTATCACTAAAAATTAACACTCGTTTTGACGCACCCCGTTCTGTTGTGTGTGTGTGTGTGTGTGCTGTTGAAAACAACCTTCCTAATTTTGTGACTGGCTATGATGACTGAGAAGGACCATGTTGACTTATTAATAATATTTTGTTTGGGATGGAAAAAAAGAGTCAATTTCCCAAAAAATGCTCCATCAGCAAATAGGTTAGTGTGCGCTGTGGACAGTATGGCTATGGAATTTACTAACCACACAGTCTAGAATAAGGTGATTAAGTCGCAAAACTTTAGCTTCGTTTAGTGGCGCCATTACTCCAGGTAGACGGAGACCGGTTTCGTTACCGGTTGGTACATTTCTAACAAACATTCAGGCAAAGGCCAGTCAAAGTTGAGACGGGAGCCGGGTTTTTATCGATGTTTGCCATCCTTATATATGAGCCATCGTAAATTCATGGTTTGCCGGAGTTGCGTTCAATTTAAATCTCCGAACTTCTGAAGCTGAGATATTTTATGAATGAAGGCTTGTATCGCAGTCTAAAATTTAAAAACGGGTCACCAAATAATTAATTAGGTGCTAAATGTTGATTTAATGCTGGGTAAGTTAAAAACAGGCATTCCGTCAGAGTGGGATTCATTCAAAAATGTGAGGGGGTTCGCTAGAAAACAGGGGGTTCGCTAGAAAAGGGGGGTTCGCCCGAACCATAAACACCCCCCCCCCCCTGGCTACGGGCCTGATTACACTGACCAGGAATGAAAAATTCAACCCAGAGCCTTTCGAGTAAACGGCAAATGTCAATCATAGACCACTAAATTAAAAAACTGGTATATTCTGCAAGTGCATTCGATTGAAACTCACTTATTACATCACATTACATAGGTCTATGCCTATTGTATGACTAAAAGCCTCATGTATAAGTTAAAAAGAGAAATCTGACTTAGTTTTGAAATAAGTAAACAACCATCGAGATTTTTATTCATTAACTATTGAAACTAACAAAACAAACAATCGAATCACTTACATTCAAAAGTCAGGTAAAAGATTCCTTTCTTTTCGGTACTCTTGCTCGAAATACGATCAAACTGCAAGTGTTCGGTCTGACTCGTTTCCCACAGTATATCATCATAATCGATGTGATGTAAGGACGCACCCCCCATCAAACGTGAAACTTCATCGATATACTTACATGACGGTATTCAACGATTGTCGGAATCGCTAGCGCGCAGCTAATTACCACGGGAACAATTCAAACAGCAAGACCTGGCGACGCGGCGATGCATGCAAATGCAAGATCGAATCATACAAGGTTCAAGGTACTCATAATAATAGCAGAAAATGCAATTGGGCATTATTATATGCTGCAACGATAAAGTTAATCGATAAGAATCTACAAGGAGCTTGTAACTGTCGATGAATTACAGCAAAGATCAATCCTGCCACCAAGGATGCCTGTCTATTAGCAACTTGTATCGACCAATTACATTTAACAATATATGTTTATACTTCCGAAATTAATGTAAAATCAATAATCATTCAATGCCATTTTAAAAATTAAAATACCTCAGTTATAATTTTTATGTCAACTTTTTTTTAACTGTTAGGCCTATTAACGATTGCACACCGTTTTTATTGAGGTTTGGAGTCATGTTTTTGTTATTTCTATAGTTTGTAGCTTAGCGTTCTTGTGTTAATGGCTACATTTCTATTTCCCTCATTTAGGAAGCTACATATAATTCTCAACAAATAATATACGCAAAATAAATCATAACAAGATAAACAATTTACAAATCGGGATAATATATTACTATGGTTGCAGGTTACTTATTTAAAATAAGCTACGTGAGCAAACCAATAGGAACCCGTTAGTATAATCATGACGGGTGTTGCGTGATAAAGATTTTGTTAAGTGATATGATTATTATCATTGTTATACGAAACAGTGGTAATACGAAAAGCAGCATTTTGTCCCGCATCTGATTATCTGCTGTCTCTTATACACATCTAGATGTGTATAAGAGACAGTGGTTACAGCATGCACTCAAAGAAGCAGCATGTATACGATAACAAAATATTTTACCAAATCAAATCAGATGGCGTCATAATCATGGAAAAACGATAAAATCGTTGCTACTACTACGATTTTAATGTATTTCCATGATTATGACGTCATCTGATTTGATTTGTCAAAACATGTTGTTATCGCATAACTGATAAATCGTTATCGAATCGTTCTAGTGTAAAAACCTCTTTTATTTCTTTTATTTTCTATATGAACAATTGCTTTCCAGCTTTTTTATCGTTATCGTTGAAGTATAAACAGGCCTTAAGCCCTACAGTCACTCTCCGATCAACTCCGATTATGCCTCTCATACATAAAAATTCTATAGAACTTTATAGACCTTCTATAGAGACTAATCAATTTCTACAGAAATTAGCATTTTCTATAACATTGTTTTATAGAGGAACTAGTTTCTATAGAATTCTATAACATACTATATACATATATTTAATGTAATTTCTATGTTTTTAATTTTTTTTTGTTTCATTCAATATTTTATTGACACATTCGTGTCTGACCAGTATAGTCCTACCAACATGTTTTACATCTTGCATATTCTATAGAAATTCTATAGAATATTCTATACAAATGATATAACAAGTTCTCTATAATAAAACTATAAAATTTCTATATTTATTCTATAAAAAATTATAGTCCTTACCTGTATTTTTTTAAAATGTATTATAACAATTTTATAGGGATTATCTCTATAAGAACATATAAAATCTATATAGAGTATAACATATATGAAATTTCAATATAAATTTATTTATTTATAGTATATTCTGTAGAACTGTATAGTATTCTAAACAGTCATTTAAAAAACTTTTAATAGTCTATAGAAAATATATATAAAATATATATAAAAACTCTATGGAAACGTTTATAATTTGTAAAATTGTTTCTCTATAGAAAGTATATATAAAATGAATACGAACGCTATGGAAGTGATTATCTGTAAATGAAATATTAAAAATTATTTTGAAAATTATATCTATAAAAAAAATTATGTATAGAATGTATATATAAAATCTATTCAAACTCTATGAAAAATTTCTGGAACCGCTAATACATTGGTAGCCTTATGGGAACTTTATGGGGGGGGGGGAGCTGGTCTGTAGTAACTAAACTTATCCCTCACCTATTTACTTAACAACAATGCTTTAGGGTTGACAGCAAAATGTTATCAACAGCCTAACCTGTTTACTGTGATAGCCCACCTACCAACCATGTAATTAATGTTAGTGTCGAATTGCACAAATCTGATTGGTCACTTCATCAAGTGACCATCAGCTGATTTGAATTGTCACTTCATGTAGAGCCAACGGAAGCGGTAGTACTTTGAATTTCTCTCTGGACTTTCAAGATGTTATGCAGTTATAAACATACTCCTTGGAAGTATTTTAGCAGTACTGTATTCCCTATCAAGCAGGGTTGCCATTTGGCCTTTTTGACGGCCAGATTCCTCAAATCTGGCCGTATAAAAATTTTCCTGGCCGTAACGTTTGAAAAGTCACGGCCAAACTATATTTGGCCGAATTTTTGAATTTACATTTTTTTTTCAATACAGGCCTAATATAATGTTGTTTTTGTTAGCTTAAATTCTATATTTGATTCTAATCACAGTGGCGGATCCAGGTGTTCAGGGGGTGGGGGTTCGTTCCCTCCCCCCCCCCCAACTCTGTGAAGAAACGTAACAAAACACTATGGGTCCTGGCTTACAAAATTCATGCTAACTAGACGCGGAACCAGACCTTCGCCCACTTCGCCCAAGCGAAGGTCAGGGTGAGAATTCAAAATAAAAAAAATTTCCAACAATCATACTTACTTTCCTTGACACTTATTTTGAACATTACCATTAGAAATATGTTTAAAAATCCACACTATTCTATACCTTACACTTTTAAAATGATTGTACTGTAGGCCCTACCAGAGAGAGAGGTACGGTACATTCCCAATACATTATGGTCTTCCACTTCTATAGCACATGATACAGTGCAAACGTTATGTAACCACTAATAATACTCAGGTCCAGTGGCGTAGGTATGGGCAGTGCAGTCAGTGCACAGCACTGGGGCCCGGGGCTATTGGGGGCTCATTCAATAGGTAATGTGTATAAGAGACAGGTACAAAAAACATTCTAATGATCTAAAAATGTAACTTTAAAAAAATCCTATTCAAACTTTAAAAGGACCCTTCAATAATATTAGGTTTTAGAGGCTATAGTTATTGATTATATTTATTACAATTTACCTATTAGGCCTACCTATTTCCCAAACGCTGCAAGTAAAAAAAAAAACAAAAAAAAAAACAACAATACAAGCCCTTACGTATACGATGGACTAATATACTTTTTGAAATTACATTTCTAAAGCAATACAATATCGTCACGCACATTTTGTGTTTGTGGTACAGTATTTTAAAGTTGGTTCACATTATTATTGTGTACGTTTTCAAACATTTCAGATCATCATAACTTCATGAATACATTTTAGATTCAGTTCACTGCAAGTAGGTCGATGACTGTTCTATTATTGAATGGTAATTGTTATCATCGTGATGGAATAGACAATACCTGGATTTGAGTCAGGAGAATCAATTAGGGGGCCTATATGTATTTTGCCCAACCTGTCGTGAAAATGTATTGAATACTCAGTGCGTGATTTACTAATACACTTTTTGAAATCACATTTCTAAAGCAATAAAATATCGTCACGCACATTTGTATTTGTGGTACAGTATTTTAAAGTTGGTTCAACTATTATTGTGTACGTTTTTAAACACTTCAGATCATCATAACTTCATGAATACATTTTAGATTCACTTAACTGCAAGTAGGTCGATGACTGTTCTATTATTGAATGGTAATTGTTATTATCGTGATGGAAATACAATACCTGGGTTTGCGCCAGAAGAATCAATTAGGGGGGCCTATATGTGTAATTTTGCCCAACCTGTCGTGAAAATGTACTGAATACTCAGTGCGTGTGAAAACACTTGCAAAATAAAATAAACATTCTCCAGATCACTAGCCTGGCATCATGCCTTTAGACCACCGAGCTTGCACCTGATGGCCAGGGTTGAATTCGAGCCAAAGTAAGCGGCGATTACTATTTTTGCAAGTGTTTTTCACATGTACTGAGTATTCAGTACATTTTCACGACGGGTTGGACACAATTCCACCTATATGTTCTATTGATGATGTTGTCAATATTAAAATATATCATAGATTCATGAAATGCTTAATAGATTTTGAAATTGCTTTCATTTATACAACATTTAGTTGCTTCATTGCAGTAGTAAGTTCGCGTGTGAAGCTGGTTTTTCACTAAGCGAATTTATTCGCGCGAATCAAAGAGTCGGCTCGCTTCCTGAGCTCTGATTGGTTGCGCATTTTTTCGCTTATCAAAAACTCCGATAGGAATGTGAATGCGCATGTGCATAAGCCGACGCTTTGGATTCGCGTGAATAAATTCGCCTAGTAGAAAACCAGATTTACGGACGATCCGCACATAAGACGAACATCCGCACATAAGACGAACATGAATATAAATATAAAAATCTAACATCTGAATGTCGTGCGTATAAGACGACCCCCTTTTTTCGATCGTAGTTTGCTATTTTAAGCATCGTTTATACGTGAGTATAGGCCTATACGGTATTTGTTTTAAAACCCTAGGTCACCTGAGCGTTAAAGGATTCCCCATACAGTTGCGGATTCAAGGGGGAACTTTTTCCATGGGGAGGACCCCATGACCCCCTTTCATTTTGGGTATTTTTGGAAACGTTTTGAACCTCCCTCTTCCAAATCATGGATCCGCCCCTGAATCATGTACCTTTGTTTGCACTAAACACTTAATCTATGTTCCCCCTTTAGCTGATGTGAGGTAAGAGAGTTTATTTAAAAGATAAGTTCAATTTAATAATTTAAATTGTTCGGATGAAATACATATTTTTTTATGAAGTTCAATGCAAGTTTGTACCATACTGTGTGTCTTTGTATATGTTCTATTCTAGTGGAGGTTCTATCTCTTTTGAATTTCTTTTGAATATAAATTAAATACCGTACTGTACTTAATTGATTTATTATTGCCCACTTGAATTGTATAGCCCTAGGTGCTGCAGTGTTCTTTATGTAGAGCGCCATATATAAATATATAAATGCTCGATGTGCTTATCCGGGTCCGATGGCACCTCCAATTTCAAGCAAGTGTTGCAGAGACTCTGGAGTTAGGTTGCATATGAGAATGAAGAAGATAATTCTGATAGCAACATTGATTTATTGCTTTAAGTACTGCGACAATAACATTCAGAGGCGAATTTAGAAAGCTTCTTCTGGGACTACAACCTTGACGTGGTGGAGAAGCTTGTGTTCCTCAGTGATCCAATGGGCTATGTCGACGGTAGCTTAGCTACTGTTAGGGTCACCCATGTCGAACAGACCATTGGGGAGAGGACAGACAAATAAATAGTCCAAACAACAATCCTGAGAAGGTTGTGCGTAGCGTTAGCGCCGCTACCACGGAAAAAGATTTTTGCTACAGAAACAGTAACAAATGAGAACATTCAAATTGAAGACTTGGGTGAACGAAGGAGGGTTGGTGATAATCTACCGCTGATGAGGGGCTGGAATGAAAGCCGTAAGGAAGTTTCAGACCGGAAGAACTCTGTTTTTTCACCTAAGCAAAAACTTTTTTTAGGATGCTGGAATGTTAGAACAATGTACGAAGCTGGAAAAACAAACCAGGTTATACGAGAAATGGAAAAATATAACATGGAAATTCTAGAGATAAGTGAATGTAGATGGAATGGACAAGGAATGATTAGACATGCAAGTGGTGCAACAATATGCTTTTCAGGACAGGAAAGCGGACATTACGGGGGAGTAGCTCTAATAATCAACAAAAAAATAACAAAGACACTGATATACTGGGAGCCTATAAATGCAAGAATTATACGAGCAAGATTCAACTCTAAATATACAAAATTGACCATTATCCAATGTTATGCACCAACTGAGGACCACTGCGATGAAGACAAAGATACTTTTTACAGCACACTTGAAGAAACCGTGAGGAAAACCCCAAAGCATGATGTAATGGTAGTTATGGGCGATATGAACGCAAAAATAGGAATAAATAACACAGGGAGAGAGAGGGTGATGGGAAAGGAAGGTCTTGGCAAAATGATGAATGACAATGGAGAGAGATTTGCAGATTTCTGCATGGAGAACGACTTAGACATTGGAGAATCTATCTTCAAACATAAGGACATTTATAAAGAAACATGGGTTTCTCCAACTGGGAAAACAAAAAATCAGATTGACCACATCCCAATAAATAGAAAATGGAGGACATCCCTTCAAGATGTCAAGGCAAAAAGAGGTGCTGATGTGGGAAGTGATCATCACTTACTGGCAAGCCAAATCAAATTAAAATTACGTAAAACGTCAAACAAAAAGCCAGAAATTCTCTTTAACACTCAGAGGCTGAGAGACCCAGTCACCAGAAACATCTTTGAAATCAATCTCAAGAATAGTTTTGAGGTACTAGAAGAGCTACCGACTGAGGACATTGAGAGTGGCTGGACACAATTTAAACAGGCTTTTACAGAGACAAGCAGTTTGGTCCTAGGGCAAAAGAAAAAAGCATGGAAAACATGGATGACACCAAAATAATGGAATCTTATCGAAGAGAGAAAGAAACTGAAACAAGAAATTTTCTCAAGAAAGGGAAACTTTATGAGAGATAATACGTATAAACGGAAGAATAAACAAGTGAAGAAGAGTGTGAAAGAAGATAAACAACAATTCTTTGAAGAACAAGCGAAAGAAGCGGAAAAAGCAGCCAACAGAGGAGATCTAGGTACATTATACAAAATTACAAAATCTCTCATAGGATCGTACCAAATAAATTCGTCTTCAACTGTAAAAGGAAAAGACGGAACAAGAATTACAATACAAGAAGAGGTGTCAAAGAGGTGGAAAGAACATTTTCAGAAAGTATTAAATAGAGAACCACCAATCGAAGAGGCAATCATTAACCTAGATATGCAGAACCACACTTTTGAAATGAATATGGGACAGATAATCTTAAGTGAAGTCAAACAAGCAATCCAAAAGACCAGAAACTGGAAAGCACCTGGAGAGGAAAAAATTACAGGTGAGATGATCAAGGCCAGCATAGACGTCAGTTCTAAAGCATTAAGAAAGCTATTAAATAGAATTTGGGAAGAAGAAGTACCAGAAGACTGGAAGTCTGGAATTATTGTAATATTGGGATAGTTTAGATTGTAACAACTGGAGAGGCATAACTCTGCTTTCTATACCAGGAAAGATTTTCAGCAGAATCATACTAGAAAGAATGAAAACATCATTAGAAAGAGTAGTAAGAGAAGAACAAGCCGGC